ATTTATGTAAACACAAAAACAGTGAAAGACCAGAAGAAAAACGGGGGCATCATACGCTCAGTATGCCCAGTGTCCGTGAAAATCGGATAGCATCGTACAAAACAAAGCGGTATAAAAAGATTCCTTTTTGTCTTTTGGCACTCCAGGTTCCCTTTTCAGTTGATTAATGACACGAATACGGATTTCAGAGACAAATCTGTTAGATCTCGATCCCTCTACTATTCGTTCACCTTTTCCAGAGACGATCCATTCTCTGCAGTGTACGATATTCTTGGATTGCAAAAATTGCGTGTTCGTTGCTGCGCCAGTCCATCCCGTGATGCGAAGGACGTACTCCAATCTCGACTCGGTCCACCGGAGCCTGTCGGGGCAACCACAACTGCTGCCGTGGGCCGTGAGCAGAACACCGGAAGACTTCCTGTACGAAAAGCGTCTCGATGCTTGTCTCTTACCATTTCTTCGAAGCGAAATATTCGTGCAGTGCGTACGCGTGTATGTTCCCAGACGTGTTCTATCATTTTCCATTGCCCCTTTGGATCGCTTTGAAGTATTCTTTTCTTTCCTGACATATATTTCATTGTGATGATGACCGGTCGAGGGGATAAACGCCAAACTCATGATTAGATACTACCCATCTATGAAAACCGACAAACGAAATCCTGAAACTTGGAATAGCAAATTCTCTAAGATGTCATCACAGCGGATGTGGCATTCAACCGGGAGATAAATCCTGGAGAGAGGGCGGCCTAAACTGTTTGATTTCCACTCTGATTATCGCCCAAGTAAGGCACTCGTTAAAGAAAAATTGTACTAACTATGAGGCATAAAATCGGCGTCATATAGCGATCGGATTTTATACTATGTATAAGTCTCACCCCACAAAAGTGCGCGTTACCCTTTCAGAATATCATCATCGTCATCATGATCATCTTTGTACAGCAAAGCGAACTTCACTGATCGCTGCCAAACTCGTAATACATAAAAAGTTTGTGATTATGTGTAAGGTGAACAGGGATTGGACCTATTTTAAGGCAGGTGAACACTGAGTGCACAATCGAACCGTGCATACATACCGTTTCGAGCATTCTGGCCTGATAAGAAATGACAACAGGAACTCTACTGTTGTAGATTCGCTGCCATATACTTGAATGATTTCAACCAAATAGTTACGGAGTCTTTTGGACCCCAACCCGGAAGATGAGAGACACCTACTCTACCTAATGGCTCTGTGCATTTCTTCATTCCTCGTCTTCATGGCATGTGTTAATTTCCACGGGGTTTCCTCCGACCTGGTGCGATGCGGTAGACGATAGCTTGGCATGCGCGATACGTGCCCTAGTCAGCGAAGCCTACCAATCTGAATCCGATGAGCTAGCAAGTTTATCCCTGATAGGCTTCCAACTACACTACGGCTTTCCTCCATATTTCTTACCCGTCCGGTGCATCCCACATGAACCACACTACGTGAACACCGATAATCAAAAACTTCTAGTCGATGGATATCTACTCGCAAATTCAAGGTCTCACAACCATAAAGCAGAACTGAACGAACGTATCACACAACATACGCGATCTTTCAACTCCAGGGAATCGTCGCATCTACGCCAAGATGAACAAGCCATGTATTGATTAGTTTGCAACATGCAATTTTACACCTGCACCGAATAGCTTGATCGACCCTTCAGGTCGTGCCACGACTGACTTGTCGCACTGATTCACATTCTTTCTTCAAGTTTCTTTCAATATATATATATATATATCGTTTCATTAGTCCCACAAAACATTGAGAACAATAGCGTGGCGAACAAGCTCGTTTTAAGTTATTCGTAATCAGGCCATTAAATAACAACAAGAGCAAACAAGGAATGAGTGGAATAAAGCCAAAGATGGTCAAGCTAAGACCTGGTATGAGGATATGAAAACCCTAACCAGGAGTCTGAGTCATATAGGTCCCGTAAGGCTACCTGACTCGAGACTTCGGGACAATCGCAATTGGTGGTTAGAGACACTGAATGATATGGCTGAGTGTTGTAAACAATGGCGTTCGTGCATCTTCGCCATTTCTTTGCAACATTAATCTACTGAAATTTCCAATTTTCTCTTTGATTCCACTTTGAACCTTCCTGTCTTTCTCCAACTGTTTGTTGCAATTCCACAAGACGGTGCTCGGTCGAAGATAGTTGTTTATTGAAGATCACAGATGGGATATCACTAATTTGGCATACATAGCACAGAAAATCTCATCAGAAACGTACAATCGCAGTTCCTGGCTTCATGACGGGTAATGAACGTATCAATCGATAGTTATTTTCTGAGATACAGCAATTTGCCCTCGGTGGTCTTCTTAATTTTTGATCGTCGAAAGTAATCACCAACTATGCTATCTACTACTCACAAGTGAGCAGTATCTCACAAATGGGTAGCCAAAGGACAGCAAACCGAAACCGGCGCACAAACGTGCATGGTTAATGTTTGTTCGAACTGAATTAAACTGAATGGGAGATTCGAATCCTAATGGTTCAGCTCCGGCTCCAATCATGCGTGCATGTGTACTTGTGTGAAATGGATCACGGCGTCAAGAGTTCAAGTGATTGTACACGTGTTGGAGTGGGTGAAGTGGGCCAGGGGAGATTAAGTGCTTGCACAAGTTTCTTCTGGATGCACAAGGGGAGGGGGTGGGCTGTGAACACGAATTCTTACGGATTCGGCTGTGGCTAAGATACGATGCTTCACTGCTTTTGATTGCCGACATTGAACCTTGTAAATCGGTCGGACCGCGGTTGTCACATACACCGAGTGATTTCACTCAACGAGATACGAACACACCGCACTCGTACTTGTCTAAATTGTTCCTGTCCTCAGCCAAGCTGGGTGTTGTTCCCAAACGGGATCGGATAAGCTCCTGGTGGTGTGACCAATGTACTGAGTCCCACAGGAGCAAGTGAACGAGTATACACAGAATGAGGCTGCAGAATCGGGCACTGTCCTTCGATCGGAAACACTCGGTTTAGTTGTCAACACCGCTTTTAATTTTGCAGCGCAAAATGTTCTGCTTACTGCTTTTGTGAGCTTTCTTTACAAGAATTTCACCTCCGTGTCTCCCTCGAATGGCAGATGCACATAGACAAACTTCTTCGCTTCTCCTATTTATTTTGGCCGTTCCTCGTGTTCTAGCATTTCCGTATCGTTAAATCGTCCGGGGTAGCCATTTTGGGTAAAAACAGTACGTAAGAACTGAAGCTCACTGTCGATGGTGTCAGTTAGTCATATTTAACGTTATGTAGTGGTATGATTACGAATATCTGAAAACGAGCTTGTTCGCCATGTTGTTGTTCTCAATATATGTATATAATAAACTGACAGTGCACTGAAGTGGCCTCTATTTTAGGGCTTTATTGCAATGTCTTTTTGTATCACTTATTTCCTAATTCACTGATCGTCTAAGGGACACGGTTGCATTGTGTACAAGGAAGGTTGCCATAGAATCAGTCTGTTTTTAATTATATAATTATTATTATTATTATAATATATAATTAATTATATAATTATTATGTCAAAGAGGAAGTGAGAGAGATGGCCGATTATAGCTCTTATTTTGGCATCTCGATGTGGCCCTCAGTGTATCGCTGAAGTTTTCTAGTTAGCCTAATCCCGTTGTACGATGCACAGATGCAGTGATCCCGTTTTTTCACTTGACACGATTCGATCACAGTAAAATGAAGGTAACCGCCCGCCGGTTCGTGGCCAAATTGTGCTTAAAATTGGGACCTCTTCAACTAGTTTGTTCATTCTGTGCGATAATTAATGATACTATGTTTAAGGCAAGACAATAAGAGTCAGCGTATTCCACAGCTTCTGAGGTCTTGCAAATAAATACGAAAAAGGCGAGAAAAATGAGGCTTGAGGGTATTTCAGTGGTGGAAACTCCACGGGACTTGGAGCGGCGAACCACATAAAGCCCCGTTGCTAGGTTCGGCGTGGTATTGAATTGGATGATGACAAAGCTGCCTACTACAATCAAAGAATCATGAAGTTTCAGTTTGTACAACCGTTAACCATGTACTGTCGTGCGCCGGTTTTGGTTGCTGTCTTTCGGCTACCCATTTGGATGAACATCAGGAAAAAAACAGGAAAGGTTGAAAGTAGGATGGAAGAGAAAATTGAAAAGTTCAGTGGACTAGTGAAGCAGAGAAATTGAGAAGATGCACGAACGCCACCGTTTGCGACACCCAGCCATTTCACCCAGTGTCTCTAACCGTCGGGTACGACCATCCCGAGGTCCCCATCCAGGGAGCCTAACGGGACCATGAAGTGCCGAGATGAAGACCACTCCTGGTCGCAGCACATGAGCCGAGCACACACACACACACCGAAGTTTAAAAACATGCCGTCGCGAGAGGGGAGGGGTACCCTTACGAAATAGCGCTAAACCTGTGTTTGAGCACAGCTATTTTTTCGTATTGCAAACATCCATCAAGAAAGTGGCATCAACAACGCTATGGTTATATGAAGATTACATGAACCTTCATATATTTATTTTTACAGGGAGATACATCCCTTGCATCATTTTATGTCTCTTGGATGCGGATTGATCATGTTTGGAACCTCTGTATTTTCTGATCATCTGATTTTTATCCGAATTTCACGTGTAGCGATCGGACGAGGCACAAGAACCGATGAACACTTCCGTTGATCTCCCCCCGGCTGAGGTGGTCATCCGTGGACGAAAATATTTTCTCTTGCTTGTAAGTTATCGTTATGATCATTGATTCTCGTTAATGCTCATTCGTTTATCATCGTTGTCGGTCAGAGTAATAATATCCCCATAGGTAATTAACAGAGGTGTTCATCGGGGTCAGACAAAAGATGAAAGAATCCATAACTGGATCGCATTTCCGCGAAGCGAGTAACAGTCTTCGTCTATATTCAACTACGTCCCCATCTCCCCATTCCTGTTCTCTTGGTCACCAACGTGGTTTATCAAGAGTACCTTAGAAGTCAAACTTGTTTATTACAGTGTGAATTACAATACAACGGGAAATACCTATAGTCAGGAAACAAACTACAAGGTAACATGTCTATAAAATCCACCCAAATGATTCTACGTTTAGGGACTGGAAGCTTCTGAAGTGTGGGAAAGACAGGAAGTGAGAAGGCGTTCCACAGCTTGACAGTTCGGGGGAAAAAAAGATCAGGAGTAGAGCAGTGCGACATCTGGTGATCGAAACCTGATAAGGATGACTAGATACCTGCGTAAGGGATGGAGAAGGAGGCAAGTTCTGAAGAACAAAAACCAAAGAACTAGGGATAACGGATAGTAAAGCGACTGCCCAATGATGGGTTAGTGGTATCAGATTTGAGTTTTGGGAAGAGTCATCAATTAGCCGGATAGCGTTTCGTTGATCACGATCATTAAGGGAAAAAAAGAAGAATACGAAGCCACACTCCACATTTAACTGCAATATTTAAAAACAGGAAACGGGGAAGATGAACTGGGGTGAATAAGTGTCTGACGCGGAATAAAAATTTATCTTGCATGCAGCACGAGAAGCAAGCTAATATACAAAACGGAACTTGCACAAGAAGGAAGTTAGTGGCGATCCACGAAGAGAAACAAAGTCTATGAAACGCAGTTAGATGGAATCCAAAGATAAGTGTGTGTGTGTGGGGGGAGGGATGAAATTGAAAGAAGAGAGATTTTAGAAGCATTGAATGAAACATGGTTGACATTGTCCCGGGAGGAGATGTGTTCGAGATCGGATCCAAGTGACACATTAACTGCATTCACCATCGATGTTGGTTCGGGCATGGTGAGTTGCTCGGTAGGAAAGGAAGTGGTGGTGGGTGGCGTGATCGGCAAAATAATGGATGAGTGAACAATTTTGGAAAGGAGATCATTATTAGGTAGAAGAAAGATGATGGGAGCAAGCAATGAACCATTGGGAACGCCAACATTCATAAGGAACGGCTAAGAACCTAGCCAATCCGGTCGGAGCTGATTCGCTTACTGAGGAAATTTGATATCCACGATGCAAGTGCCGGATGGAACTAGAACATGAGCAGTTTCGTCAGTGGACCTTCGTGCCAAACTCGGTCGAAGGCCTTTGAGATGTCAAGCGAGACCAAGTGTGTTTTTCCGAGGTTATCGAGTGGAGCTGACCAGAATTGTGAGACAAGAGCCAACAGGTCACCGGTGGAACGACGCTGTTGAAAGCCATACTGGCGGTTGTTCAGTAGTCCTTCACGTTCGAGGAACATGCGTAGTTGGTTTCAGTTTCAGTTTGAATAACCATTAACCATGCACTTTCGTGCGCCGGTTTTGGTTGCTGTCTTTTGGCTACTCATTGGGATGAAGAATAGGAGAAGAAAGGAAAGTTGAAAGTGGATTCGAAAGGAAAACGGAGAAGTTCAGTGGACTAAGGTTGGGAAGAAATTGAGGAGATGCACGAACGCCACTGTTTACGACACCCAGCTATATCGCTCAGTGTCTCTAACCATCGGTTACGATCATCCCGAGGTCCCCAGCCAGGGAGCCTAACAGGACCTATGTGACCCAGTTTCCTGGTTAGGGTTTTCATACCCTCGTGCCAGGTCTTAACTTGACCACCCTTGGCTTTTTTCCACTCTGTAGTTGGTTAGGGATGATAGTCTGGAATAGTTGCAAACGAACAGATGTGATGGAAGTGGGTCGGTAACTGTTGGGGTCAAAAAGGTTGTCGTGTTTGGGAATGGACAAGACCAAGACGTTGGTATAGTGGAAAGTTCGGAGGGAAAGGCTAAAAGGAGCCGACATAAAATTATAGCACACATTTCGAAGACGATGAGTAGAATACTGTCCAGACCGGGTGATTTTTTGTTTGCGTTTGGAAAACGGAATGTTTGACGGATTTTCCTAGTGCTAATATGAGGTAAAAAAGGGTTGTTGGAGAAATACGAAGGTGGAGGACTAGGATAGTGGAGTAATGTTGGAATTCTCCGCAAACTGGTTGGCA